AAGAGACAGAGACAGAGCAAGTGAGTAAGCGAGACAGAAACAGAGAGGCAGAGAGAGCAAACCAGCAAACAATCTTTCTTTCTCACTCTGCTCTGCTTTCTGAACTCCCGCCCAGGCCCCGTGCTGCCTCTGTGCCCCTCCCCGCGTGGGCAGTGCTGTGCTCCAGGCACCCCAAAGCCTCACCCAGCTGCTTCCTGCTCCTTTGCCAGCCCACCCTCAGCCAACCAGACGCAACCCTTCCCCAGCCCTGGGCCCGCATCTCATGTTCTGTCCACACCAGCCATTGCACAGTCCGCCCAGCCCTCGGCCCCCTCGACATCCACCCGCACTCCACATCACCCTTCTCCAAAGCTCCGCCCACGGCCAAAGAATCTCTGTCCCTCTGCTGCCCGTCATGACTCTCCTGGGGACCAGACTCCGCCCCCGGCTCCCCCAGCCCAGGTTCCAGCTGTCTGGAAGGAGACACCACGGCCAGTCTGGCCTCTCGACCGGAATTACTGTGATGCCCACCCAGAAAACGTGCGCCATGATGAAAGCCTCAAAGTGTTTTTCAAACACGCAGGCACTTCCCCAGGAACTCTAGAGCGTGCAGCTGCTTGAAGGTAGCATGGAGGCTCCTCGCCCTGGGCCGCTCTGCCTTTCCACGGCCTTCTAGGGACGCTGAGGATCGGAAATCCCAGAGGCCCCACGGCCACCAAGGGCTACGTCCAAAGGACTCTTGGCGGCACCTCCCTTCCCCACGGCCTCCAAGCCCTCTGCCCCTCGGGCACACGGTTCCAGGACTGGACACCAAGTCCCTCCAGGTCTCTCCGTAACCCTGCCTTCTCCAAGTCCCGTGGTCAGTGACAAGCAGCTCCACAAAGGGCCAGGTGGACAGAGCACGGCAGGACACATCGGGGGAAGCACACACGGGACCCCAAGTGCCGCGAGACCGGCCAATGCACCCCGAGAAAGCCAAGGCCACGCTGCAAGAAGAGTCGCCTACACGACTCCCTCTGCCTTCCAGGAGCCGTGATGGAGGACGAGGGTGGGCTGTGACGTCTTCAGCTAAGTAGACACGACCCAGACACAAATGGCTCTACTTTTCCTAATTGCGGGAAATAATGAAACGCCCCTCCCTCCTTGCCACGTCCTCTAGCCAAAGGCTCTGCTAATTCAAACCATTCGTGGGAGAATAATGCCGGGCATTGTTCTTGTGGGAAAAAAAGGTCATCAATTTGAATTTAGTCCTAATATGCAGAGAACAGGAGTCTGTCGTGTGTGATGATACAATGATAAAATGAGTTAATTGCCATCTCATTCCAAGACGGATCTCCCTGTCATGGGGCAGGAACCACTATCTCACACAAAATAATGACCCAGATAAGAAGCAGTGGCCGAGCCGCAGCAGCCGGTGACACGACTTCATCTCAGCCTAATGCAATGGCAATTAACAAACGCCACCACTACATCTGTATAAACAGACCCAAGCGATTCATTCAATATTTACAACGAAAAGAAAAAGGGGGTTTTCAGTATGCTTCTCCCAGGAAGCACCTGTGGTCGCCTAGCTGTGTGATGACAGAAACATTTATACCTGTGGGACATCCTGCCCAGTGCAGAGCTGAGGGCCTAGGAGCAGCCAGGGGCCCTGGAGTAGCTGTGGAGCCTGAGTAGCTGTGGGCCCTGGAGTAGCTGTGAACTATGAGTAGCCGTGGGACCTGGAGTAGCTGTGGGACCTGGAGTAGCTGTGAACTACGAGTAGCCGTGGGACCTGGAGTAGTTGAGAGTCCAGGAGTAGCTGTGGGCCCTGGAGTAGCTGTGGGATCTGAGCAGCCTTGGGCCCTGGAGTAGCCATGGGTTCTGGAGTAGCCATGGGCCCTGAAGTAGTCCTGGGCCCTGAAGTAGTCGTGGGACCTGAGTAGCCTTGGGTCCTGGTGTAGCTGAGGGCCTTGGAGTAGCCGATGGCCCTGGAGTGGCTGTGTGCCCTGGAGCAGCTGTGGAACCTGAGTAGCCACGGGCCCTGGAGTAGCCGTGGGCCCTGGAGGGGTGTTCTGCTGTCCTCTGCTCTCTGCACACAGAGATGGTGCCTTTTCCAGAAATCACGTCCAGCCGCAGAACAGAGGAACAGAGGGAAGGGGGCCCAGTCAGCCCCCTTGCTTTGTCCCACAGCTCCCGGTTGCCATGGCAACTGCCTAGCCACGAAAGCCACCGCCAAATGCAGAGTCCAGCCCTGGTCCACGGACAGACAGTGCAGGGCGGGGTGGGGCGAGGTGGGGGGGAGCAGCTCTAACACGCCTGCCACTCCCAGGCAGGACAGCTGTTGGCCACCTTTCTGCCGAGAGAACAGAGGTGAGAGACCCTGGGAGACGCCCGGAGACAAATGCCAGGCCGAAGTCTCAGTGCCGCCCTGAGGTGCCTACCATCCGGTCCAGTCCACCCGGGTCCCGTCATTTCTGTTTGCAAACCCAGGGCGCAGCAGGAGCAGAAAGAGATGGTGGGCTTTGAGGCGCGTAGTGTTCGCCATGGGGACAGCAGGGTTCTCACGCAGCAAGAGCCCTTCAACCTCGTCAGGAGGTTCTTGGAAACTGCAACTTTGAGCGAACTGACATACAACAAAACCGATTTTTTTTTCTTATCTACATTATAACTAAAGGACGTTGGGGACTTGCGTATGTCACTTTACTGAAAGTCACAGTTCCCAAAAACCTGTCGATGGCATTAAGCGGGGACTTCCTACACAGATACAGGAGAAGCAGATGTCAGTCATCTTGTTAACACATGACCTCATGATTACCAGATACTGACGTGGACACATGCACGTATGATCAGCAGGGAAAAGAACACTGGTGTCGGAGTAAAAGTTAAAGTAAACACCGGTTGGGCCAGGCAGGGTGGCTCACGCCTGTCATCTTTTTGTCATCACTTTGGGAGGCCGAGGTGAGAGGACTGCTTGAGCCCAGGAGTTTGAGACCAGCCTGGGCAACCTAGCAAGACCTCATCTCTATCAAAAATTGAAAAAATGAGCCAGGCATGGTGCCACATGCCAGCAGTCCCAGCTACTTGGGAGGCTGAGATGGAAGGATCACTTGAGCCCAAGAAGTCGAGGCTGCAGTGAGCTGTGATTGTGCCACTGCACTCCAGTCTGGGTGACCGAGTGAGATTCCAATTAGGAAACAAAAAAAATTTAAAAACCGGCTCATAAAAACCCTAAATTTGAGGTTCCCATCTGCTGGACAGACGTCCACCTCCACGTGGTTGCTAGGGACACACAGTACCCAGCAGCCCACAAATCTAGCTGCTGTTCCCGCAGACCCGAGACAGGTTCCACGCAACAGGCCAGCCCCACGATGATCAGGTCCGGCTAAAACAAAGGCAGCAAGGTGCACATTTTTAGACGTGCGCTGTGTGACAGTGGACAGAGCCTCACGCCCTCAGGGCACCTCCTCGCTCCTCTGCCATGCCAAGCTTCGACCATCAATTACAAATCTGTTTCTAAAATTATGTCTTCCCTGGTAAATTCTGCATCGAGGGGTCCCTACTCAAGTTGATTTGAGTATTTATCTGCAGCAATCCAAAGATGGCCCCATCTCTGCAGACAGCTGCCTGGGTTATGAACACACTGACGCGCCCAGGCTTAGTCATGTGCAAACAAAACCACTTCCCTCCCCATTTCTTAAATAAGGATCTGAGCCCTAGAGCAGAAAGGTCTTCCTCGTCTGATAAAATGGCCCTTAGGTCTGAGTCAGGAGATCTCCTGGTTCCCCATCTGTGGCCGTGGCTCCTGCCTCATGAGTGGCCATTGCCAGGGCTCAGGCCTGAACACGCAGGAAGGGAACGAACACCCTCTCAAGGGACAGCCTCACATCTTGCTCTTCCGCACGCTCCCTCTCAACGTGTCCCCAGCCTGCACAGTCCGGTGGGCTCTCTCCAGCCCCTTTCCCCAACCTTCACTCTCCCTCCCCTTTCGCTTGCTCTCTCTGACATGTAAGATCTCAGGTCCTCACAGACACTGTTCCCCGTGGGGGGGCCCTCTGCCCTGCCCCTGCGGCCCCGTCCCCAGCAACGCCCCCTCGTCCTTCCCACCCTCTGACCCTCCCGGTGACACTCAGCACACCCGGTGATTCTGATTTTGTTCGTATCCCCGTACCCCGGGCTGTTCCCGGCCCAAAGCTGACAGCCAACAATATTTATTCATGATTCCCCAGTAAAACAGAAGCAATTAAAAAAATAAAATAAATTTCCTAACTGGTTAACTGGTCCTCAAACAGACCCAGTCCCCTGTGCAGGGCGGGCATTGCCGATGGTCCTGGGACCCTGGGTGGGGGGGACAAGGTAACCATCCAGCGATGAGCTCAGCACCCGTCCAGGCAAGGACATTCCTTCTGTGGCAAAAGTCCCACTGAAACTCGGTGGACCCGGCAACTAGGCATGAAACCTGACACGGCATGATGAAAAGTTCAAACCCAGACACATTTCTGGGCAGACAGGAATTCTCCCCAAAGAGGCGATTTCCCTGGTACCGTTGTGTGCCAGTGGCCACAGGACTCTGGCATGCACCCACACGAGGACAGGAAGGGGGCTGGTGGCAAGAGCCACACACAGACAGGAAGAAGGTGGGGTCTGGGGGCTCACATCACCCCGAGGGCTTGAGGGCACCCTGGCAGTGGGCCTGCAGGCCTTAGCTGTTAGCCCCACTCCAGCCCTAAAAGTCAGGATCCAGGGTCCTGCTAGCCAGGGAAAAGGGGAAGCTCCTGGTTCCAGAATCAGAGCCAGCCCCG